TCTCTCTCTCTCTTTTCTCCTTTGCAGTGCATGAAGGCCTATGTGGATTTTGAAATAACCGAAGGCGCCTACGAGATCTCGTGTCCCGATGCCCAATGCCCGGCGCAAGGCATTATGACACTACCCGAAATCGCCAACCTAACGACGACCAACTTGATGAAGAAGCACCATCGATATCGACTCAACAAAGGTACCGTAACATAAATATTTTGTTTTCATATTACTCCTTTAAAACAAGCACACCATTAAATTAATAAAAACATAATAATAATAATAATAATCTTCCTTGCACACCTTTTTGTACGCTCACCAGAAATCGAAATGGATAAGACGCGCACCTGGTGTCCGCGCGCTGGCTGCGAAACCGTTTGTCACGTCGGCGTTGGTCCACATTCCGATGCCACACCATCGACCTCGACAGGTGCTGGTGGTGGTGGTGGCGGCCCTCCGGGCGCTGCTTTCACTGACACGCATGGCACGCACGCACAGCCACTCTGCGCCGTCCAGTGTCCGTCGTGTAAGGATGAATTCTGCTCGTCCTGCAAGAAAGCGGTTAGTACGCGCACAGTTTTTTATTTTCGTGAATTTCTTGCTAATTTCTGTCTGTCCCTTTTGGTTCACTTATAATTTGTTACTTTTACTTTTTACCACTGCAGTGGCATCCAAATCTGACTTGTGAGGAGAATAGTCGTCGTTTGGTGGCGGACGGTCAGGATGACATTGGTATACCCTTCGACAACGACCTCATCAAATGCTGTCCCATGTGTGCTGTGCCCATCGAAAAGGATGAGGGTTGTGCGCAGATGATGTGCAAACGTTGCAAGCACGTCTTCTGCTGGTACTGTTTGGCCAGTTTGGATGTAAGTATGCGGCGTATAAAAATTAAATATTTACAAAGGTACTTTTGTGCGCACATTTTCCAAATTTTCCACATTTTCAAAATTACCCAAGTTGATTGTGAAATAAGCGCTATTAAGTATCTAGAAGCTAGAGTGTTATGTGCGTAGTGTGCTTAATGTTTATTACTCTATATTGTTGTTATCTTGCAGGACGACTTTCTGTTGCGTCACTACGATCGTGGGCCATGCAAGAACAAACTTGGACATTCCCGTGCCTCGGTGGTGTGGCATAGAGCGCAAGTGATTGGTATTTTTGCCGGTTTCGGTATATTGTTGTTGGTTGCCTCACCGCTACTGCTATTGGCAGCACCCTGTATTATATGTTGTAAATGCCGCAGTTGTAGCGGTGCAAGAATCGATGAAGGCGATGCCGAATTGGACGAAGCGACAGCGTTACAGAGGTAAGGGTAATAATATACCATTTGCATTGAGTTGGGATATATGTAGGCCGGAAAACTTTTTGGTAACATGCAGTTAAACATTAGGAAAAACAACTAGCCGATACCCGTGACTCATACCCGTGGTGACTCCGCCTGCAAAGCTTACCACTTTCCATATAGTTACAGCAGATTTTTAAAGTTAAAAATGCAGCTTTGATTATATTGAAGACCAATATTCTGTAATCACAGTTAAGATGAAGGCGGACTCCAAAGATAGTAACGGTCTTTCTAAATAATATTCAATGGGATATCTATCAAAAATAGCTGTAATCGAACCAGAAATACAGATTTTCTGGAAAACGCGACACCAGCGCCATCTACCGAGTATTTCTAATCGCACCCACAGCATACCGTTTTAATATCATAAAAAACGGACCATATATACTGATTTTCTAATAACTCGGCTCTAGCGCCATATAATGGATCCATTTTTTAGTATATTTAGCTCATCAAACCAGCAAAATTGGTTTTTAATTTCATTAAAATCAGACTGCAAACACAGATTTTACGAATCCAGCAGATAAATTTTTCGTAAATGTTGATGTTTTAAAAGCATAAAAATTCCACTGAGAGTTTTTAGTGAGTGATGCTGCAGGTCAGGCATTCCTTTACTTACTTTGAGTTCACGGTAAGCGAGCCCCAAGCCGTGATTGCCGCTTTAGTAGCAGAGTAAGTGTTTACCTCCCATTCGAATGCTCAACAATTGAACAGCTAATCAATTGCTTCCTTAAGGCCATCTACCTCTGTTTGGAAAACACAACAACGATTTAGGGGCCGAAATTTGAGGTCGATGAAGAGCTCCCTGCAAGATATCCCTCCACCTCCCATTCGTATAGAAGTTCACAGTGTCTCCTGCGAGCCCCATCTGTGCTTTCCGTTCACTCGTTCCTGGAGGAGGTGTTCGCGGAGCAAGTGCTCAACTAGACAATTTACACACGCGGTCATCGAAATTATGTTTACGCCATAAAGCCAAAGCCCCCAAGAATGTCCCAACGCTAAAGCAGTTGTGCCCAGGGCCGCTAAGTTTGAATGCATCCCTTGCTGCAACAGCCTTACGAACAATGTCGGCGGGGGTTATGTTAAGCAGCACGTTAAGGGCCATTTACTTGAATCTCTGTTAAATGTATCTTCCCGTTAAACATCGTTATCGAGGTTACCGACTGCCCTATTATTTGCATACCCAATGTACATGCTCTAGCTTTCTGCCTTAAGTATTGCACTAGAGTATATTTATATAGCTAGGATATATCCTTAGTAGAGAGGTCAAAGCTCTTATAAATTGCCCTTCCCCTTTGCAGCAGTAGAGAGATACTTACTCTCTTCACAAAGGGTAATTTAGAGCTCAGTTTGTGCCCAAAAATAGATATTGTTCAAACACAGAAGTAATAAATTTGAGTGTTTTGCATACATATGTATGTACATTAGAGTGGCCCAAAAATGTATGTGAAAATGTTAAGCCGGAATTTTAATGCTGCCACACCTTAGGATTGTTCTATATTGAAAAAAGATATTTTTTATTTTGAAATAAAAAATGTTAGAGAGTGCTCAAAGCGCTCAAAGTTTTCCATGCATATTATAGTGTAGAATTCTTGAAAATCAATATTTTTCGATCGGAAACTCTGGTTCTCTTCAGGATATTCCCAATAATAATACGCAATTTTTTCTTTAACCAATTTTTCATAGCAACTATATTTTATTGGTCCGCCAAAACCCCCAGAAAATGCAATGGGGGACCAATAAAAAATCTTTAGTATTAAAAAATTTTTAAATAAACGATTGGATATTAATATTGGAAGTCTTCTGAACAGAACCACAGTTTCCCGATCGAAAAATATTACAAGAATTGTAAATATATCATCTCTACGAAAAATGGTTTTTCCCCCATATAAAAGACAAGGAAAAATTTGAGCGCTTTGAACACCCCCTAAATATATTTTGATTTCAAGATAAAAAATAGGAGTATATTTTTTTCGGTATAGAACAATCCTAGTGGGTGGCGTCATTAAAATTCCGACTTTACTGTTTTTGGACCACTCTAATATACATATGTACATATATAAATAGATTTTCCTCATTTGTGCAGGCTAGGCCATCTGTGAAAAAAATGTGTTTGAACGCCACGCTGTCCGATATGATTGCACCAATTTTCCTTCCCACCTATTTCTTTATAACCTCGCACCCAATAGAGCTTCACCCGCCATAAGTACAGAGTTCGTCTCTTGGACGAATGATGTAGACAGACCCCTGTACTCCTGTTCTTGACTTCTAAGTATATTGGCTATATGCACATACATAGACCGGTTTGTCTCTGAACACCCCCAAATTTCCTGGCATTCAACTTCTTATTTACCATAAAGTATTATAGGTCATATGACAGGCGTAAACTTCAAGTCTTACCGAGTGGGTTTTTTTATGCGAATAAGTTTACTATAGTTTACTATTAGTAAGCGTTAAATGGCCTAATTTGGCCATTTCATTGGCTTGGTTCGTTGAAAAAAGTGAGCTGAAAAGGTGTCTCAGCTTTCCCCATCATGTCGCTTCAACGGTTGCCCCGTGTGTAGTCAGCATTATGAGCAGCTGTTTGGTGTCAGTAGCTTTGAAAGGAGTGAAAATAAAGAAAAGATTTGTTATATTTTAAAACTCTTTCAACATCAAAGTCTGAAGTGTTTTTATTTTTTTGATATAACATTATTTTAAATTTATTTCATAATTCCATTATTTAATAATTCCATTTCTTTTCTTTTTTCAGTCTTTAGAAGGCGCCAACGAAACGTAAACCAGAATTTGGACCAAAAATTTGAAGCATTTTTAAAAGAAAACGAACAAAAATACAGAAAAGTGTATTGATGCGAAAAATATAAAGTAAAAAGCGTATACTTTTACCTATTTATTTGACTATAAAAAATATAATCTGGCAAATAACACTACCACAAATGTTTGTATGTAAATGTATTTATAAATAACTAAAGAAATGTAAACAAATGAGCAAAGTACAGCAAAAGTTATCGGCATTAAAAATTCACTTATTTAAAATTTTTAATTTTAAAACAGCGAGGCAAAGTTCAAGCTTAGAATGCTGATTTAATTATTAACGAGACATTTTTTTCCAAAATACTCATTGAAATACATATGTACGCGTCAAGTATGTTTAATTGTTTAGCAGAAAACTACGGGAAACTAGCAAAAGGAATTGTGATTCAGAATATTGTTTGGCGTGTAATTAAATTCGTAATGATTGATTTTGATTTATAAATCATATATATATATAAATCATATGTATATACTTTCATAGGTAACACACATATGTATATACATTAGGGTGCGTCATAAAAAAAATAAAAATTTTTCCAACGTAATCAAATAATTCAATTTTTGGAGCCATTTTTAAATCGGCCCTGCATAGATATCAATATTTTTTCGAAAGTCTTACACCCAAACTAATGAAAAATAAAGAAGACATTAACTGCTTTATAATTAGAAAGTTTGTATAAAAATGTCACTTTATAAATTTCTTTAAATATATTTTATTTTTTATGAAAAAGGTCATTAATATGTATACGTATATTGAATTTTATACTTCCGATAGGAAAACTGTACCGATTTTTATTATTTAGTTTTTGTTTTTTGTACGAAGAGTGATGCACCCTAATATATGTATGTACATGCATACAAACATAAGTCGAAAAATAATTTTTCCTTCTACAAGCGAATCATAAAATTTGATATTTTTTATGAACTTCCATCGAGATATTTTTGCACAGTTATTAGTAATGATTTAAGATTGAAAATTTCAACGGTTATATACATACCCACATATACTCGTACATATAGATCCCTAACCGCAAAAAGACAAAGTAAACAACAAAAAAATAGTTTGAAAAAATTTTCGTTTTCTTAGCGGTTAGGGGGAACTTAAAATTGAAACTGAAATTAAATTTTTTTTTTGGGTATACTTAAAAGATGAAAAACCGTTAAAATTCACGAAAAATGGTTTCCAACTAAGCAGATTTAAGCGGTTATCTTAAAATATAATAAGTTTTATAATTCCGCTGGAAAAACCACAACTTTTTTGGTGATGCCCCCTAGTGTACATAAGTGTATAAAGAAAATTTAACTTAAATTGTTTAAGTCGTAGCGAAAGACTTTTGTTTATCGATTAATGTACTCATAATTATTTAGGCAAATGAGACGATAACTGGAGTTATGCTAATGAATGCAGAGTATTGTAAGCGAAGTATAAGAAATTAATTATTCATTTTTTACAATTGGCGTGTAAATAAATATGTACATATGTACAAATGTCACAGATTAGACGCCGATAGTTTACTGTTGCTTGATTCAAGGCTTTGTGGTGAAGTTGTTGTACTTATACCCATTTAAGAAGTTGATAAACGAAATTGTTTTGCATATTCACTCAAACTACCGTTAATAACGTCTAAATGACATAGTTAAAAACAGCTGAAATAAACAAAA